CGACGTGGCCAAGGACCTGGGGCTGGAACTCTCGGCGCTCCAAGACCGTGGCGCCCGCATCGTAGATAAAGGTAGGAAGAACTATTTTTCTCTGCATGAGAGAACCGGCCATTTAGTGACGGCGGAACGCATAGATCGGGAGCAGCTCTGCGGACGGTTGCAGACGTGCCTGATAAATCTAGAAATCTTAGTCGAAATCTCCATAAGACTTTTCAAAGTGGAGATAGAAATCACCGATCTAAATGACAATGCTCCCAAGTTCCAGGAAGATAAGCTGCAGTTACGAGTGAGTGAAACTGCAGCTGTGGGAACGCGGTTCCCACTGGAAGAAGCACAAGACGCGGACGTGGGGCTGAATGCGCTGCAGCGCTACGAGCTGAGCGGGGACGAGCACTTCTCTCTGGCCGTTCAGAAGGCACCCGAAGGGGAGAAACGTCCCGCGCTGGTGCTGGCGAAGGCACTGGACCGCGAGGAAGCTGCCTTTCACGAGCTTGTGCTTTCGGCGGTGGACGGCGGGGATCCAGCGAGGACGGGCACGGCGCGGATCCGTGTGGTCGTGCTGGACGCAAACGACAACGCGCCGGTGTTCAGCCAGGCGGTGTACACGGTGCGTGTGAGGGAAGACGTGCCGGTTGGCTCCGTCCTGCTCGCCGTGAACGCCACGGATGCGGACGAGGGCACCAATGCAGAACTCAGCTACTCTTTACTAAAGACGTCCGGCGGAGCATCGCGACTTTTTCAGGTACACTTCCGCACCGGGGACCTCACGACGGCGGGGAGCCTGGACTACGAGGAAGCGCCTTTCTATGAGCTGGAGGTGCAGGCGAAGGATGGCGGGGACCTTTCAGAAACGACAAAAGTCCTGGTGAACCTGATCGACGTCAATGACAACGCACCTGTAATCACCGTGACATCTGTCCTGAGCTCTGTTTCGGAGGACAGCCCCCCGGGGACTGTAATCGCTTTGCTAAATGTGAAAGATGAAGATTCAGGGGTGAGTGGGGAGGTCAGACTGTCCCTCGCCGACACGCTCCCCTTCCGCCTGGAGAAGTCCTTTGAGGACTACTACAGCGTGGTGACATCGAGGGAGCTGGACCGCGAGGCGGTGGCGGAGTACAACGTGACGGTGCGCGCGACGGACGGCGGGTCGCCCGCGCCGGGGGGGAGGGGGGGGG